TAGTTAGTCGTGTGTAGTGTCGTGTGTCGTAGTGTGTCGTAGTGTGTAGTGTGTGTGTGTGTGTGTGTGTGTGTGTGTGTGTGTGTGTGTGTGTGTGTGTGTGTGTGTGTGTGTGTGTGTGTGTGTGTGTGTGTGTGTGTGTGTGTGTGCTTGTTTGCCTGCTGGTGTTTCTCTTTGTTACTGGGATCGGGCATAGGGTTTGCCTGCGTGTTTATGTGTGTGTGTGCTCGTCTTTTGCGAGTGGCACTCAGCGGGGAAATTGAAGGGTTGCGTATGGCCTGGAACAGCCGAGCATGGTTTTGGGAAAAAAAGGGCCCCAGCACCTTTTGATGTGTCCCCCCTCTTCATTCATGTGCTGCCAGTGCGCTGGCTTGCATCGGCCCCTCCGTTTGTGTGATGGTTTGGATGGCCAGAAATATGACGGACACAAAACACTCTTTACCCAGCGGCCTAAAGCTTTAAAACACAACGTGTGTCGCTTTCTTCGTGTTTGTCTCTGGCTCCTCGTGTCACCACTTATTTTCTCTCAGGCAGCCGCACAGACAGCTAAAATACAGCCCCGTCCTGCAGGGGCTTTTTAGGAAGGCTACTCGACTGGAAATACAATACACACACACACACACACACACACACACACACACACACACACACACACACACACACACACACACACACACACACACACGTCTTGGATTCAGATAGATACACACAAACAGACACAACACATGAGCGTACAGGCTGGATAAGCTGCCTCCTCTGTGAGGGGGAGCCGCCCCTTCAAGGGCTTATTCTCCCGAACAACAGCTCTGCAGAATCCATCGTCTCACATGGAAACGCTACATAGAAGGAAAAAAAACGCCTTTATTCATCCTCTTCTATGTCAAAAAGAACACAATTCACTCTAAAATTAAACTCCGACGATCGTTAATTTGACCCAGGCTATTGTTTGGTCTGCAGTCGCACTCTTTAAAATGTTTTCTCCTGTAATAATTTCCCTTTTCCATTCGGCGCTCCTCGTATACAAACAATAAACATTAGTTTTCCCCTTGTTGATGCTGGAGGCTGTTAATCTGTTTCCTTGTTTCGAGCTCAAGCTTTTGCTAGATCTTGTCGTTTTTAGCAAACTTCCTATCACTATTTTAGAGGCTCACAAGGGCCTTCTGGAGGTCACACATCAGACGTTGAAAAAGCACTTGTCTGTAGGTCACTACGCTCCCAGACTCACAAATGGGAGAGACGATTCAAAAAGGAGTGTTAATGTTTCTCAACCCAAGCCTGACACTACGGACGGATGTGTGCAACCTACCTTTGGTGATTCGCAAGGGCGCACGTTAATTGCATCATCTTAATTAAGATATTTCACACAGTGCGTGTCTATTAGTATGCCCCCCCGTGTGTGTGTGTGTGTGTTCGTGTGTGTGTTCGTTCACAGGGGGTCTTGTGACAGGACCACTCTGCTGTAGACGCTGTGGCAGATGTACGGGACAGATGCCCGTCTGCTCTGCTGCATCTGTAGCCTAGCTTAACCTAGCCCCTCGACACACACACACACACACACACACACACACACACACACACACACACACACACACACACACACACACACACACACACACCCCTGTAGTGCCTGCTGTTAAATACGTGACTTTTCTGGTAAATCTGTCAGCCGCATTTGTCTCACTTTGGCCGCATTTCCTTTTTTTAAATGTATATCTTCCTCCCTCCCTCCATATCACCTCTTTTTCTCTTTAGCACATTTTGGTGGTTGTTTGTCCCTGTGTTGTGTTTGTTCAGCTTGTTTTACTTGCATGTCGCATGTGACCTAAATAACGTTAGTTGATTGTAACGGGCAGGTAAACAGCAACCGTCTACACGACAAATCTGCCTGGGTTGCATCGGCTGCAGATGTTTGTTTTTTGTTGCTTAGATGCACGGCTGCTTTGTCATCACTTGTGCTACTTTTCATGCAGCATATGAATGTGCTTCAGTTAGTATTGAAATGCCCAGTACCCTAACTTCCTGTCTGATGAAATCGGATGAAATAGAGCATTGATTTCCCAGTTTGCACTCCCTCTTTTCTTCATCTCCCTCTTGTTGGTTTTGTATTGAATGTTTTGGATGTTCCTTTTGTACACACTGTACTGTGGATTGTAGTCATTATGTGTGTGTCTGCAAGCTGCTCTTTCATAGGAAGTTGAGCTGGTCACTGTCTTTCTCACTTCTCCTTCCCCTTAGAAAGAAACCTCCATCTTGCTTTCTTTCTGTCCCTTCTTCAAATCTTTTTTATAAATATCTTTTGTCCAAACCATTTCCCTTTTCCTTTCTCTTTAAGTTTTGTAGCACTTTCCTGAATAACTTTTGACTAGCTAGTTACTACCGAGGCATAGCTATTAATGGAGTTTAAAATATGTGGTACGTAATGTTCCTAGAAGTGCTTGTTATTAAAAGGGCAATCGATGTCGACATAGTTTAAATACTTTGAATTGTTATACTGTCATTTCGACTACCATCTACTTCCCTACTCATCTGCATTTTCATTCTTGGGTGTGTCATTGTCATTATTTCCTATTTGAGTGAGTGTTTTCCCCTACTTGTGCGGATGCTTTTGATCTCTTCAGGTCTTTATTCCACCCCGAATTTCCCCACTTCTCCATTTGTACGACATGTCATATTCAAAGCCTTGATTTCTGCAACTTTATATCAGATGGAAATATTTTCAGTGCATCATTTTATACACATTTTGGCATATTTGATATGTTTGTAAACCTTGGCTCCCCCACTAAAATCGCATCTTAAATGCTGTGGGTTTGAACAATGCCTGGCTGCACAACACTAGTTTGTAAAGATGGGTTTATGTTATTTATTCTATCCCAGGATATTCAGTTTCATCTGAGTGTTGCCACATGCGGGGCATCTTTGCTATCTATATGGAGGTTATTTAGGGGTAGCTGTGAAGTGGAAAGCGAGGCATAACAGATGACAATACACGAGGAACCACTGTGAATGAAAGCTAATCTTTTATTGAAGCATTTCTGTCTTGACGGGGGGAATTTTAGCCGCAGCGGTCTGGAACGGTTTGGTGAGCAGTGAAACTGTGTTAACCACAAGTCAGGGCTGTCGCACGAAACATCCCCAACATTAACTTCTGGTGTCATACCATAACTATGCGGCAATGTATTTGAATATTTACTCTCCCAAATATAAGATGACATTGATTAAAGAGCCAGAGGTTTGTGGCTGATTCAACTTTTAGCTTGTTGGTGGAATTGGACAACAAGGTTCCAATTGGAGCAAGGCAGTTTAGTTATAGCACAATAGGATTGTTTGTATATAAAGCCAAATTAGAATTTCGATATTGATTTAATCTTTCGCTATTGTCTGGATTAAGTACCGCAGCCAAACTGTTGTTGTTTGGCTGTCAGCACAAACCTGTTAGGCGGGTGTATTCTGGGCTGAAGAATAGCATGTTTTGGAGAGGATCCAAATCACTCAGGTGTTGTCAGAATTATTGTTCCCCAACAAGATAAATAGAGCTCATTCTTTATAGTGTCCCTGTTGTTTCCCCAATATGACCTTAAGCTTATGAACCCACTGAAGGCAGACGAGCAACTTCCCATCCTGATCATTTGATAATCCTAGGAGCATGTTGATGCACCGTCGGCCTTGGCGGAGCTCTGCGCTTATCGAGTGCGAGTAGAAGGATTTATTGCAAGTAAACACTGAAAAATACACTTTACCTCCCTATATCAAAAAAAGTGCTGCCTTCACACTTATGGTTTTGTTTGACAGAATCTCTCAAAACTACGATATAATCTGGAACAAGTACATGTATTCCTTCTTTAAATAACTGTGTCAAGGTGCCCTAATGGTTAAGCGGCATACCATTCAGCCACAATGTGTTTGTGTTGTTTTATCTGTGATGTCACCCTTCCTGCAAGTCTCGCAGGTCATAGGTATCAGCAGAGGTGTCCGGTGACATGTGGCCTGCAGGCCTGACATCAGCAGAGTTGGACTATATTCTCCATATAATCACTCATAAGAGTATCTGAGTACGAGACTAGTGAATGCATCGTTCATTTCAGCCCCCGAGGAAGGCTATGTCATTTAATGTAAACATCAGAGAAGGTGAAGCTCAACGTGTAAGTAAGTTGGATATGTTTTAATCAAACTTTTGAAAAGCTCCAGTCATGTGCACTTGGGCTTGATTTAGGAAAAGAAAGTAATGTTTCCCATGTGGTATGTAAATGGTATCAGGCTGCATCAAATCGTTTAAATGGAATTCTAAGATTGTACCTCCGTCATTTTCAGTTGCTGGCGATCGGTAGATAACACAGAATAATCAGAGCGTAGGTTTGTGTTGCTGGAAGACAAAAAATGCTTCGTTTTACCTCGAAAAACAATTGTATCATGACCGGCAAGGCGAGAAATAAAACGTTCCCCCGTCCATTATGAAACGGATAAGCCAAAATCCCGCTCAGCCTTCCTCCTCCTCATCCGTACCCTTTCTTACACACACACACACACACACACACACACACACACACACACACACACACACACACACACACACACACACACACACACACACACACACTGTGAGGGGCCCCTTGCTTTTCATAACAAAGGCCCCGTCTAACCCAAACGTGCGGCCGAGTATTGCGTGGCAGAGTGGAAAGCTGTGAGTGAGTGGGAAGCCCTGCGAGCAACCCGGCGTGTCAGGTGTCACTGACATCTGTGCATGTGGGTCGGTGTGTGTTAATGTCCGTCTGTGTGATGCCTCTTTTCTTCAGCAGTTACAAGGTGATACAATACCAAAAACATAGTAAAACCCACAAAACAAAAACAGACGAGGAGAAAACAACTAAAAATCAGTAACAACCTAGTGAGTATTTATGCTGTTATATGAATGCCCGTAGTTATAACCATACTGTGTATATATAAGGTTATAACCAATATCCTCTTTCATGTAAGGGGCAATTGGGGACCAGTTCCTTACAAACTCATCCAGAGTTCCTCTTGACACTTGAGATAACCTTTTAAAATGGAAAAATGTGATGACTCTTAATTGCGCTTTTAAGCCCGATCTTTGACCCTTTGCTGTTCAGGCCAGCTTAAGCTCCACCGGTCTCCCAAATGCAAAAAATTATTTCCAGGCTTGTTTGTGTAAAGTAAGTGTGGGGGTGGGTTTTGGAGTTGATAGAAGCAATTGGAGCATGGCCCCTTGCAACATTTTGACACAAGATGAGGAATCTTTGCTGGTGAGCTCAGCGCTGTTGTTTTTTTGTGGGGGGGGGGGTTTCAGCTCTGGTGTTTTTCTTTTTCCTTCTTCGCTCTTTACCTCCCTCCCCACAAGCCTCTGCTCTTCTTCCTCCTGGTCCCCCCCTTTTCTCCCCCATGCTCCTCACTGTCCCTCTGAGCCGGTCATTAACGTAACAGCCTCCCCCCTCTTCAACTCAAACGGACCCAGCTGGGGGAGAACATAGCTTTTTTTGGCTAGCAGGCTGTGCAGTCTCTGAAGGCTTTCCAGAGGTCACAGCGAGTGTAATGCATGTGTGTCTCTGTATGTTCTCATTCCATACTTCACACTCTTTATTTTTTTTATGTCTACACTTAAGCGCTCAAAACCCGCTTGACGAAATACAGTGACCCAAACATCGACCCCTGAGGCATCCCTCTGTTTCAGTTTTCAGTTTGAACACGTCCAATATCGCTTCATCTCATCTGCTGGATCAAAAAAAATTGGCTTTTAATGAACATTCCTCCCTCTTTTCCCCCCGTCTTCCCCTTTCCTCTTGCAGAGAAGCGATGAGGAATTACCTGAAGGAGCGAGGTGACCAAACTGTCATGATCCTGCACGCAAAAGTTGCACAGAAATCCTATGGCAATGAGAAAAGGTGAGTGAAATACTACAGCAGTTTTTCTTATATCAAGGTTTCCACAGGCATGGTAATCATCATAAGAAGTTGTTGGATATGAAAAAATTAAATAATAAAGCCGTGAAGGTTTTTGAAAATGGAAAATTCCCCCGATTTCGTCATTATTTGCAATCTCTGTAGCTCACTCTCTGGTGTACTATTAACTTCATATTATTTAGCTGATTTATTTTTTCCCGTCTCCCAAGTAATCCTTTTTTTATTAAATATGCAGATTCGCTTTCTTGCTGAAAGTTAGATAAGAAGATCGATAACACTTTCACGTCTGTTCGGTAAATCTAAAGCTATTGCTGCCAGACAGTTTCTTGGCAATAATAGGCAACTAAATCACACCTACCAGCATCTTCAAAGCTCGCGTATTGACACGTTATGTCTTGTTTGATGAATCTTTGAAACAACTGAAGTGTAGTTGGGAGCTGGGTGGCTGTTTCCTGTCTTAATGGAAAGATAGGCTAAGACACAGCATTAGAAAACATGTCAAACAATTTAAGTGAAAAAGACAGTTTTTTATTAACAAATGTAGCCCTTACTCTAATTCTGATTCCTTGTTGTTGTGTGCTCCAAATAACGAGTAAAAAGCCACGTGTGTCGATGTGTCAACATGGTGTTTAAAAAACCTTTATACACCCCGACCTATCGCTGAGTGCGCTGATTGCAATCGGCTAAAAGGGAGTTATTAGTCACATGTCACGCAACACAAACTTGGCCCCCTTTTTGTTGCGAGGGATTTATGGAGAGGTAGCGTGTGTCACTCGAGGGGAATCGGGCTAATGGAGTGAATGAAAAACACACGTTCCTGCTGGCCTCGGTGCATCGTGGGTACCTCAACCTTTCTGACCTGCGAGAGTTCAGAGGAGGAAACGAGAGGCGACCTCCGGTGTGAGGCCACGTTCAGGTGAAGGCGGAAGGAAGGGACGCAGGGGCAAAGGGAATAGATAAAAGGCTCCGGGGGGGGGGGTGTACCAGTGGCATTTAGGTGTAAGGTTCAAGGACCTGTTGCTCTTTTTTGTTGTAATTTCCATGCTTCAGTTTTGCCTCTCTCTTTAACTCATCATCCTCTTCCTGTAACTCTGCTCTCACCTTTTTACCTCTCACTCTCAAACCTTCTATAGCTTTCCCCTTCCCCCCCACTCTTTCTTTCTCGCTCATTATGCAACTCTCTTCAGCCCTCTGTCCTCTGCCTGTTTTCTTGGCCGCGATGTAGCACTGCTTGCGATCTCATCAGGCGTATCTCTGGGGCAAATCAGCTGTTTGCAGGCCAAATCTAAGACACCTGAGAGAGTTGGAGCAACATCGGGGGAAAGAGATCCAGACTCAGATTCCTCCGATAAATCCTAGCTGTCTTGTCTAGTTAAAGCAAGGCAAATGTCAGGATTCAAACACTCCTGTCTCACTCATTTGTCCAAGTTTGGTGTCAATATTACCGGATTATGTGTTGCTCAAAGACGCAGGGGTTAAATTAGTCTGTTTCAACATCCTTTGGCTCGCAGAAACACCACAATGTTCATGTTCTGCACACCTCTGATGACTTGTGCATGTACAGAATCAAGGGAGTCTAAGAAAGTGGGTGCAACACAAATTCAAATATGCCGTCTCCGTTTCTGTCTGCGCTTTTTATAGGAGGTGAAAGTAGACAAACACCCACGGAGACAGACAGCGGTGTTGCGAAACAGGTTGCTTTCCAGTTTCACAGTGACGCACATGAATTTACTTGAAGTTCTGCTGGTTCTGTGATAAGACATTCGATAGGGCTTACGTTGTCATTCTTCTGAATTGAGTTGTAAGGGATTCGAGGGCATGTAGACTCCTGACATGGGGGGAAAACAAGTTACCTTTTTTCTTGAAAAGTATTTTTTTTATTTCACAAGATCAGTTTCATGCTTGATTGCTCATGTTCACATCTGCTAAATGAGGCTTGACAGCTTTAGGAAAGAGTGCTTAGTTGAATTGTACTTAACAATGTGTCGACAAAGGTTTCTGACGGTCTTGTTGATGCTTAGCACAGGTCTGCCCTCTTCTGGTGTAAATGGGGAGATGCATAATGCCAGTTTGTTCTATTTAAAGTGGTTTTAAAGTCTTTCTTTTGGACAAATGATGTTTACAATTCATGGAGAATTTCTTTTATCTTTTTCATCCAGGCAGACTGATTACAAACATAACAATATTTAAAGAAACAGGCTGAATTATTTGTTATCCAAGTAAAGAAATGTGACAAACATCCGCTCCTCAGTGGGAAAAATATTTGTGACAGTTGCTCCATTTTAGACTCAAATAAAATGTTTAAAAATACGAATATAAAATAAAATTCAAACATACAAATATTGACATTAACAATGGAATTAAAGATAAAATAAAAATATATATATTCACAAAAGAAGTATAGTGTCAACTGTTTTTTTACATATAAAAATGTGTCTATATATACATTAAGATATTAATTTTGAAAGCCAGATTATTGATAAAACAGTGCATCTTTCATGTGTGCTCAATAATCTTAAATATTTATGCTTGTGTCCAGGTTCTTCTGCCCTCCTCCCTGCGTGTACCTGATGGGCAGCGGCTGGAAGAAAAAGAAGGAGCAGATGGAGCGGGACGGCTGCTCCGAGCAGGAGTCGCAGCCCTGCGCCTTCATCGGCATCGGCAACAGCGACCAAGAAATGCAACAGCTTAACTTAGAGGGAAAGGTACGTTACATCATGTGTCACTCACGGAAATGCACTTGAAGCTGACATACCTACATACTTTACCTCCAGTAATAATACTTAGTCGCCTTCACTGCTTCTCAGGGTTAAATTCCTTCCATTTTCTGTTGTCAGCGGGGAAATATGTAACCGGTGACATGGTAACTCATCACTTAAAGAATAAATGGAATGTGAGCTGTGTTCTCGTGTCACTTTTCTGTATATCTTTGCCAAGACATGCTGCACAGAAAACATCCTTTGCCGCTAAAGAATAAAAGATCTAATGCATTCTGATGTATCTTCCCCTCCTTGTCCACCCAGAATTATTGCACAGCCAAAACCTTGTACATATCCGACTCCGACAAGAGAAAGCACTTCATGTTGTCTGTCAAGATGTTCTACGGCAACAGCACTGACATCGGCGTCTTCCTCAGCAAGAGGATCAAAGTCATCTCCAAGCCCTCCAAAAAGAAGCAGTCCCTAAAGAACGCTGACCGTGAGTTTCTGCTTGTTTGTCACACACACATACACACACACACACCCACGTTTGTCTCTTGTCTGTGCCGGGGACACTGATGACATTTGATAGACGTGGGTGTAAGCACTTTCACTGACTTGTGAAACTGGAAGATCGGGTCTGAACTTTCGATTTCAAATGATTTTGTTTAGGTTAGAGACACATAAAAAGGACGCACGTTAAATATATAAAAGCACATTTATTTTTACAAAAAGGTATTTACTTTAACAGTTGCACTTTTCAGTCTTTTGATATTGTTGACACATTTTACTTTCAATTATGTTATTTTTCTACTTTCATTCCCTTTTTTAAATTGATGTATGTATTGCACTGTATGCATACATTTATTTATTGATTTTATGCATTAAACACATTCTAATACAACGTCTCAGAGTGAACCTATGGCAGTGTATAAATAATAACCAAAAAAAAAATGTAATTGCAAAAACTATTTGTATAGCTGAACGTGAAGTTTAAAGAATACAAATGTGCCTAATTTATTTACTAAAATGTTTGTGTTTTCCTATGTAATTTTATATCACTATTCTTATGATGTGTCACCACTAGAGGGCGCTGTAGCTTCACTTGAGTGTCCAGTAACCCAGTTCTGTCACATGTTAACACAACTGTAGTGACACATCACCTCTGGTCAGATTCCCACACTGTTATCGCTGCAAGAGGTCATTTTTTTGCCGTTATGTAACCTTCCAGTCTGTGTGTTTTTTTCTTTTGGTTTCTCCACAGTGTGCATCGCATCAGGGACCAAGGTGGCGCTCTTCAACCGGCTCCGGTCCCAAACAGTCAGCACGCGCTACCTTCACGTGGAGGGCGGAAACTTCCACGCCAGCTCCCAGCAATGGGGCGCCTTTTACATCCACCTGTGTACGTCTCTATCAGTAACACAAACATTTAGAAAAAAGCTTGGAATTGTACAGTATAGAGATGGCCCACAAATGAAACTTGTGCTTGTCTTATATTGTACTTCTTAACTATAAATGTAAAATTATATTACGCAGTAGTATTCATGTGTTAATAAGCCCACTTTTTAACCCTTAGATGCATTGTGGGTCTTTTTTGACCCGGTGAGGTGGTTTTGTTGTAATTACATTTTTTTATCATTTCATATTCCAGTTATTCCTCAAAAAACATGTTTTGGATATCATGCCATTCAAATTTTAAATTAAAATGTCGACATCACAAGTGACACCTCTCAGGCAGATTATTGCACACAGCCAGATCTGATACGTGTCAGTATAATAATAACACATTATATTTGTATTGGGCTTTTCAAGGACTCAAAATCGCTTTACAAAATAAGGGAAGGTCAGGGTGGGGGGGATGGGACTATCAAACTTGATCAACCGGCATGGATTGATGGGCGGGGGCTATGAGTAGACAATAGGAGAAGAGATGAGTTTTGAAAAGGGACTGGAATACTGTGAGGGTCTCAGAATAGCGGAGATCTTTGCATCGATATGTTCAAAACGTTTTTTTTTTAAATGTAAAAAAAAGTCTAAAATTATAAATAGTGAAAAATTTAAAATAAAATATTTCTAGTGTGAACCCAAATATAATACTAAATATTATACAAGTGATTTTTCTCC